GGATGGGTCGAGAGTCGGAGGATATCTGTTCTGTTAGGAACCCTCCGTAAACCCAATGCTTAGGCTGCTACCAGATGTCTGCAGCACTTTTTAGGCAGAAGCGACCACACTAAGCGGGCAGTTGACTGGTTATGCACCAGTGTATTATCGATTAGAAGAGTAAATCTCTACCTGCTTTGATAACACTGGTCGACGGCCAAAATTTACCAGAGACGCCGTTATGAAATTCGTATGTAAAATCACCCCCTGATNGGTACCATAGAATTAAAAATAACCTTGATTTTCGGAATCAGGGGGTGATTTTACATAAGAATTTCATAACGGCGTTTCTGGTAAAGAGAAAAAGTTGAAATTTGTGGTCCAGTGTAACCAATCGGTAATCAGTAAGCATATTTGGGTTTAAGGCAAAGAAAACTGGTTGGCAGATACTAAGCGGAGCAGCTTTGAGGTCATCTCTCCTTACACGGATGGCATAGATGTTCTAATGGCAACTTTTTGACTTCTACTGGGTCGGCTCAGGAAGCGCTCGCCGAAACCCCGATATTTAAAAGTTTCAAAGCCCCTTTAACAGTAGTAGACCGCTGGCGGTCAACGGAGCTTCTGCGGCTGGCTAAGTGCCATCGCTCTTGCTTTCTCTAGACTAATTTTCATTCGCATTTCATGAACACACCAGAGGAACTCGTTAAGGAAATATCTCACAGAAGTCACGAAGGTAAAATGAGTTTCATGTCACTCGTGTGTTCTTCTTCTTATTTCTTGACATTGACCGACACTGTAACCTACCTCAACTCCAACCTAAAGTAAAACAACAAAGGGCCTAAAAAATAGTTCTACAAGCATTCAACAAAATGAATGCAGAAGTCACATTCTCAAAAGTGTTGTTGCCTTTACTAGATCATATCGCCGCGTGCGAGCTGGTAATTCGCGCTTCAAACAGACAATTGCCCATTGCAGACGTCACTTTGTTTGTGTTGTAAGCGCGCCAATTAAAATGGCATCTGCTCGGGTATTGCCTGCAGTATGCGATAGAGTTTGGAAATCATAAACTTGCGTTCATCTTATCTATGAAAAGTTTATTGTCCAGTTCAACAATGTCCAAAAATAGTACATACAACATATGTAATATGTATGTATATGCAAAAAAGATATTTAAAAAATATGTTATACTCATCTCTATATCTATTTAGATAAAAATGAGGCCACATGTGTTCCATCGCAATGCCAATAATTATCTGTGTTAATCAAGAAATTATGAAGCAACAAGTGTTTTATTAGCTTCGTTAGCTCTCTGCGATTTTGTTGTGTGAAATATTTGAATGCAAAATTGCTGTGATTTTTTGTACACCAAAACGCCATATGTTGGTGGCTTAACTTTTGCAACATTTCGATGCTTTTTGAGCAGTTAAGGTTGGTTGGATTTTTTTAAATGAGCTTGAAAATGTCAAATTCGGTTTAAGCTTTGATAAGCTTGGCGCCAGTCTTGTTATCGAAGGGGCGTATAACACAGTGTCACATTCAATTTTACACACACAAAAATCCGTATACTAGCGGAACTAAGGGACAAATATAGTAAAACTGCGTTTTTTAGAGTTTCGCTCTGATGAAAGGGGTTTTTTTTTTAAAGGACTTCGAGATTTCAGGGTTATGATTATTTCGATTTTTTGTTTGTTTTTATTTCATTGCAATATGGAATAACAAAATGGGTATCAAATAAATGAAAAAATTCGGTTGCATTGAAAAAACATGTAATTTAAGGACGAGTAGGTATTGAAAATGGCCCTTTAAAACTTTATTCTTGAATATCCTTGAAAATTTTAAATAGTTTTCTTTAAATAAAATATAAATTAAGGATTAATACGCACAACACCACATCTTTGAATTTGGCCCTTCTAACATTTTTAATTTGGAATTAAAAAATTAATTAAAAGTACATTTCCAATACTTATTATATTACAAATGTATTTTTCTACCGATATATATACCTACCTATATATTAATCGATATTTTTGTCAATGTGTATATATGCATAAAAACATGCACTTGTCACTATTTTCCTCGATGTATTGATTCTTATTTTTTCGATAGATTTATCGATAATTTATCTACATTTTAATCGATAACACCTATTTATCGATACTTATTGCCCTACAGAGTATATCAATGGGATGCCTTCTTTTTTTTTAAATTTATTCGCTTCTCCAAAACAATGATTTGCGAATACCTGCAGGGGGGCTCTACTAAGCTAATTTGTTCCGCGCGCATAGTTTTCATCGCTATACAGCTTCCTTCAGTGTATTTAATCAATAAGATTTGCCTCCGACTGATAGGTAAATATTACCACTTCCTTCACTATAACTATCACTCCAAACATTGCCTGCCCACGAACCAAAATCCCTCCACCAGTTCCCTCATTCGTTGCCATCTCAGTCCTTGTTGATTGAATTCAACATCTGTTCGTTTCTGTCGCAAACAAGAGAAGCTATAAACGTAACCGGAATAATATTTCAACGCAAAATAATCGTACATTTCCTTTTAGCCTGCTCCAGTGTCCTTTGCTTCCCCCACTAATTCGAGCAAATGCAGTTAATCAATAGCAGAAATATGAGATGTTCAACATTCGCTTTGAAAAATTTACATGCGCACGTCCTTTTATTTCCACTTTCATTACTTTTTTTCTGAGTAGAAATTTTAAGTGTTGAAATATTAGCTCAGAAAACGTAAAATTTGTGTGTTTGTTAAAAAAAAGAAGAAGGAAAAAACATAGCTCAGCATTCGCTAATATAATTTACATCTATTAACACTCTCAATGGGATAAACAATTTGTTAAAGAATACCGGCGTGCACTTGAGATGAGTACCTACGTAAGAGTACGTAAGTGATACACATATGAGTACTCAAGTGCTTAAGTTTGTTTGTTTATGCACATAAGTAAGTACATACATACATACGTACATACATGCATAAGTGCGAGTATCATGAACATTCAGCACCGGCTTCCGGTGTTTGGCATTTCGACTGATTTGTTATTAACACGACGGCGAACAGCGGACACCCCTGAGTTGCTTTGCTCTGCGCCTGAAGCGCCACAGGAGCTACTAGTATGCGCACACCCGCACAACAAACACCCAAAAGGACATTCAGCTGTGAAGAGGTCGTCGCTACGTTCGTGTCAACTACTGCTTTGCACTCAGCTTTTTGTTTTTATTTTTGCCTTTTTTTAGGCTTTTTCGTAGACATGTCTATTGACTACCACCGCCTGCCGTCATACATAAGTGTATATTTGATTAAGATCAACTGGCGAAAAGCGCCCGAGGTCGAATGGGAAATGTGACCAACTTTAACTACATAAAGAGGCAAATAAACTTTTTCGCTGCGGGGCAAACATCTGTTTTCCTTTATTCATTCATTATTAGCTATGAAAGCGAGTAGAGCATTTGGCTTGTTGGTTGGTTGAGGAGGTGTGAGTAGATATGTGGCTTTTGTTCATACTTTTGCAGTTTTCGCGCTCTTGAGGTTAGGCAAAGCTAAGCTAAATATTATTTTTAGCATGCAACCTAAGTCAATGAGTGAAATAAGAAGTATGAAAAAATTAATGAATTATTTAATGAAGCGACGTGAAAGTAATAAAATTAATACATACACATATTGTAATTAAATGTACAGGTTTAACCCGTAAATAATTTACAATATGTTATAGGTTCTCACTAAATTGAGAAGTGGCCTGGGCGTGGCTTAATTTGTGGAACACCCGTATTCTTTCCTTAAAAAGTCGCATACGCCCAATACAATATAACTCGCACTAGGAGGAGTTTTGCTGGTCTTCAGGGCCCTGGGGAAATCTGTTAGTGCTTCTTTTCTTTAAACTTTCACATATCCATTGTCGATCTTCATAAGAATAACTGTTGGAAATCATGGGGTCAAATATAGAAAACTGCGTTTTTAGTTTTTTTTTTTTAAATGGCTTTGAAATTTAAAAAATATGGTTACTTCAAAAAATTATTTTAAAAATTCAGTGGAATGTAGAAAAAGAAAAGAAATTCTGTAGAATTAAAGCAGATTCAATTATTTGGTACATAAGGACGAGTAGGTATTGAAAATGTCCTTTTAAAATTGTATCCTTGAATAATGTTGAAATCTTGCAATATTTATTATTGAAAAAAATATAATGATAAGGACTAGATAATTTACGCTTGACTCTTCGAATAGCGTTCTTCTAACTTTATAATCTTGAAAAAATTAAATCAATTACAATTTTTAATACCTATTCGTCCTTGTGAACCAAAAACTAAATTTGTTTAATTCTACAGAATTTTTTCAATAATTTGTTTCCCATATTGTTATTCTACATTACGGAATTTTTTAAATAGTTTTTGCTGTTTTACTATATTTGGCCCATAATTTCGTGAGTATATTGATTGCTTCGCGTTTTTCGAAATTATTTTGTTTTGCTCGCACGGTGTAATAATCGATTTTCGATAGTCACAAATTAATTTACATTCCCTCACTTTTACTCATTAAAAATTTTAAATTTAAAAAACCTAAAAGAATTTTTAAGAATAATAAAAACATAGAAAAGCAAAGAAAACCAAGAAACTCTGTTGCCTCTGTTGTTGTTGCCTACCCGCAAGACCGCTTCCCCGGCCGGCCTTGCATCCCTCTAACCTTTGGGAATGGAACAAGCCATTTTGCCGGCACTGGTATCCATATTTCGCTCTTTAGGGATGCGATGAGCCCGTCGTCCCGCTGGGCTTCCTTCAGCACCTGTTGTAGGGTCGAACATGTTGACATTTTTGGAACAACAGGGTTTCTCCTCCGAATTAGTTTTTCCTCAAATCTACCACGGGCATCGACGGTTTGGCTTTTTTCATCAGCTTAACTACGCCAAATCCAAAGTTCACCACGTTTGCGGTGTTTTAGCGTTTATATCATCTGCTACCTCAAAACTTAATTTTAAGTGTAATTTGCTAAATAAAATTTCTAATATGAATTTTTTCTTGCAGGTTTTTTCTCAAATTCTTTCTAAAATGCAATCAAAATTGTCTGAAGAACGCCGGCAATCCAAGAGATATGAGACGCTTTCAGGTACATATTTAAAAAAAGGTTTGGTGAAAATTTGCAAAAAAAAATTATTTCATAAAAAATAAAAAATAAAATAAAAAATTTTACAAAAAATTTAAATTAAAAAATATAAAATCAATTGTAAAAGTGATTTCTCAAAAACGAAAAATATAACAACATTTAACAAAAATTAAAAAATAGTAAAAAAATAAATAAAAATAAAAATTAAAACATTAGTTGTCTTGAAAGTTTTTAAAATTTTTTATTTAAGTAAAAACTCCTTAACATTTACATGTTTTTACTACAATCCTCTTTTACTTCATCCATAACATCACTTAAAAATTCAACTCTCATCCTAGGTTGTCATCTCCACTCAAGTGACCGTTGATGGCCCACTCTTAGCCATATCCGATAACATGTTCGTGCATAACAATTCGAAACATGGACGCCGCGCTAAACGTTTGGATACCACGGAAGGTACAGGAAACTCCTCCCTGTCCTTAACGGGTCACCCACTTGCGCCTGACAGTACCTATGATGGTCCGTAACAAAATTCTTTTACCACATTTTTGAGTTTTATATAAGTTGTTTAGTGAAGAAAATGTGTTTTTTTTTTTTTGAGTTTTTGTGTAATTGAATATGTAGAATTTGTTTGTTACCGAAAACACTTATTAAGTAAAATTAAATTTATGTCATTCAAAAAATTATATAAAATTATGCCTAAATTTATGCAACAATCAAACAAATGTGCAAAGAAAATTTATATGACTAAAAAGCAAGACTCCGCTACTAAATAATTTTTTAGCCTTAATTTATTCTTTTAACTTTTTTCATAATTTTTCGTTAGCAAATCATTCGGTCATACACTTAACAACACTACCCTACCTTCCTTATCGCAAGCTTAATATACTTCAAAACACTTTACTAAAGCTAGGTAACTATTTCCCGCCCACAGGTCTTTATCCACCATTGCCCGTGGCCACGCCCTGCATCAAAGCAATTTCGCCCAGCGAGGGTTGGACTTCTGGCGGCGCCACAGTCATTATTGTGGGGGATAATTTCTTCGATGGCCTCCAAGTGGTCTTCGGCACAATGCTCGTTTGGAGCGAGCTGATTACATCCCATGCCATTCGGGTGCAAACACCACCACGACACATACCCGGTGTGGTGGAGGTGACTTTGTCATATAAGAGCAAGCAGTTTTGCAAGGGTTCGCCAGGACGATTTGTTTATGTTTGTGAGTAAAAAAGTGTAATAAAGCAAAAAAAATATAGCTTGGAACTCAGCTTTCTACAAACAAAAAACGTAAACCTGCACTTTTCTCTCTTCTTCTGTCAATGTCACTCTCCCTTTCTACTCTTTAAGCAGCCCTCAATGAGCCTACCATCGATTATGGTTTTCAGCGTCTACAAAAACTTATACCACGTCATCCTGGCGATCCGGAAAAGTTGCAAAAGGAAATCATACTCAAGCGCGCTGCTGACTTAGTGGAAGCCTTGTATTCAATGCCAAGGTAAGCATCGTCTACACTTAGCTTAAGCCTTGTCACTCAAATACTTTAGCAATTCATTTACAATTTGTGCTTTGCCTTTTCTACTCTCCTCCAGATCTCCCGGTGGCTCCACCGGCTTCAACTCCTACACCGGTCAACTGGCCGTAAGTGTACAAGATACCGCCGGCCAATGGACCGAAGACGATTATCAGCGCGCACAATCGAGCAGCGTGAGTCCACGTGGCGGCTATTGCAGCAGCGCTTCTACGCCACACAGTTCGGGCGGTTCTTATGGCGCTTCAGTGGCTGCTAATGGTTATGGTCCCACCACCAATATGGGTACGTTATCCTCTTCACCAGGCAGTGTTTTCAACTCCACCAGCAGTAAGTTTAAGTACGAGTAGTAGTTTCAGATGTAGTTGAGTGCATGTACCCCTTGAGTTGAATCATATGTAGTAGTACGAGTACTTTCTGTTTAGTTTAGTTGCCGACGAGTTTGAATTTAATGTCCACTGACTGCGGAAAATCAACGATAAAATATTTTAAATCGATTTTCAATCGCAACGAACAAGTTGAAAAGTAGATTAAGTAAGATTTTGCGAAGATTTGCTCATTACGCCGAGTTCGAAAAACGGCCCTAGTCTCAGATAAAACAATATTTTCCTATCCTACGTAAGCGTGTGATTGTGGAAAACATGGGTGAAAGCACCAGAGAAAGAATGGGGTCATATGCTCATAAGCCTACATCGGTTACAGCGGTGGCCTGGATTCCCGAATTTAATAGTTATCGCATTATGTCGGGGAGAATGGATCCAACCAAATAAGTATATTAGGGTACCTCACCAAAAAAGTGGCGGATTTTCCAACGGAATTATAAAATTTTAAATAAGATCAAAAAAGTAATTATCTTGACTGAGTTGATAACACTTTTATCCCTCTACTGCACAGAAAGGAAATAAAACTACAGTGCCAAAATTGGTACCACGCCATTTAGACATTTTATTCCATTTTCGCTTAACTGATTGGTGCGGCGTTTTTTAGTGCTGATGGCTATTTCTAAGGTCGAATAACTGGTACAGTGTGATACGGTTTCTGGAAACTTGGCGGCTATGAAATTCCTTTCCGAAAAGGAATGATTGGAAAACTAACATTTTTTTCAAATCTCACCTTCGATAACGAATGTGGAATAAGTTAGTATTCGATTCGAGAACTAGGCCATTCTCCAGAAAAACAGAAACTGCGTTATTCAATGAATTTTTCCCTCGTTATGAATTCGAAATCCAGCCCATTATCGAATTGAAATTTTAATGATATTTTCATTCGAAAATGAGCTGGATCTCCCTTCCTCTCTTGTTACTATGGTTTTAATTTTTTTCGAACCCGTTTCGAATGTATTTCCAATACACTATAAACGTTGGAAAACTAAGGTTGGTTATGAGTTCGTTCTCAGTTCGATATTCATATTGGATATCGAAGGTAATTTTCGAACGTTCGCCAAAATGTTTGTAGGGTACATATTTATTATGCATTGATGTGAAAAATTATCAATTATTCGGCTCAGTCGTAGGAAGTAGTCGTATTAATTTAATTTTTTTAACATGCAAAATTTTGTGCCATCCCCAGAGTTATTTACTGTGTAGCGTATGAGACATTAATAAATTACTTAGTTATTGAGCTTGTAACTATGTATGTACATTAGAGTGGTCCATTTTTTTCTCTAGTAGGCAGTTAAATTTTGAATTTATATAGGTTTCATAATTTTATTCATAAAAAAATCAAAAAAATATTTAATTTAAACGATTTTATAGCATTTCTAGGAAAATTTTATTTTGCCAATAATCACAAACAGTCACAACACAAAACATTCTAAATATTCTGGAGAGGCAAACATATGTTGATGCTGCGCAAGCTAGGCAAGAAAAACAAAAGCATTCTTAATAGTATTTTTCCGGTTAAAGAAGACGGTGACGAGGAGGAAATATTGGCGTACGTTAGATTTTTGGGCTGTGAAAAAAAAAAAAATTAATTGTGAGTTTTGTCTGTTTTGGATTTAGGGTGCGATATATACATACCTACAGTGACTCGAGCAAGTATTTACCTGTTGATTTTTTTAATATTCATAATTTTTCTCAAGTTAAATTTTTATGGTTTTTTTATAAAAATATTGTCCAAACTTTAGCCAAATTCACATAAATAAAAGCTCCAAACTTTATACAAAATATAGGAAAATTCCACAGATTTTCATCAAAATTTCGAGCTTTATAATTTGAATTTTTTGAACATTTCGGGCTAATCAGTTTTATATATACAATTTTATCTAATGAAGTGCAAGTTTCAATCAGCTCAAAGATTCCATTAATTTTTGAGAATTTTTTTGGTGAGTACTTTGCTTTTTTTATATAACATTTATATAAAATTTTAAACTTTGATTTATATTTTTTGGTTTAAGTTTGGACAATATGTTTATAGAAAAATAACAAAAAAACAACGCGTCTTTGAGTCACTGTGTTCTGCAATTCTGTGCTGACAGCAGCAAAATTCCCAAAATTTGATTTTGCAGGGCATTTTTGAACCACCCTAGTGCACATAAATATGTGTGTGTTCGTGAATAACCACAAAAAACGGCGTATGTGTATGCCGGAATTGTTTTATTGCACATCCGTTTTTTTGTTGATAAGCTACTTTATTTTCTCTAATTTTTTTGAAGTGTAAAATATATGTAAATGTATCTATGTATGTTTGCACATATTTACCTATCTAAATGATTGATTTTTTTGCTAACCTATCGATTTTGTTTCTTTTTTCTTTTTCTCTTTTCATTGCATGGCCTACTTGTAAAAACAAAAACCTTAAAAAAAACAAATATTTCAACACGTTGAATTATTTAAAATTTTTATTTATTATTCGTACTGTTGCTACATCATTGTTTTTCTTTTTTTATTTTATGCAAAATTAAATGTATTTACATATTTACTTACTTACTTTGTAAAATTTTAACTCAAAAAAAAAAAACATTTATATACAAAACACTTGCAAAAAATGTAAAAACCAAACAAACAACAACAAAAAAAAAAACGAAATATGCTCAGGCAGTGCCTTTTCGCCATTAATTTCAACAGTGTCGTCACCGTGGCATCAGGCGCTAGTGCAACACCACCACCACACACATCCGCACCATTACCATCATCATGCCCACCAGCCGTGGCACAATCCAGCTGCCTCAATTGCAACGGCCGCAGTGTAGAGAGAAAGCGTGAAGCCAGCCAGAGTTACAAACATATGCACATAGTAGTGTTCAAAATGTTCAATAAGCGAGTGCGAGAATCGAAAGTTTGGAACGGTATATAAAAGCAAACGCATTTTACTAATTTTACTTAGTTAAATACATAATTAAAAATGTTGTTAACTATGCAAATGTAGCGCAAACAATTTGTTTAAAAAATAAAATAGTATTAAAAAATTTTGGTACGTCGCACTAGGCGCTTGAGCTGCGGCGACCGCTAACTGATTACCTGTCGATGAAGCCAAATCACTGAGAAGTTTTTTTGTTCATGAAAATTCCTAACAGGTGCGTACCAGATAACTTTTAAGAAACAATTTTTTTTTGTTAAAAATATTGTAAAACTCGCAATCGACTCGCAATCACTTCTGGCCATTTCCAGGTACGCGCCTGAGCATTGCAAAAAAAAACTACATACCAAATTACAAGAAAATATACTTCACGTCATACATTCAAATTTAATTTTGTACATATAATATTACTATATATACATACACACAGTGCAGCAGAGTTGCATTTTCAATATAAAAATTTGCATATAAAAAATTGTTATTCGGAAGCTTTTTAAAAATTAATTTTCTTAAAAAACACAAGTACTGTATAGATCGGCGACGACTAGTAAGAGCTTTTATTATGTGCCGCCTATAGTTAGTCTGTGCAAGGGAAGCTTTAAAAAGCTTCTTCTGCGGAATATTTATTGATTATGACTAGTGTCGATCTATGCTTATTAAAAGATTTATTAGGGCATTTTAAAGCATGCACAATTTATATAAAGCTCTAAAAATCTTCTACCACGGGATAGGTTTCGGTTGTGACCAATTTTATGATACCAAATTATATCAGAGACGTTTAGAGAGAGTTTTTAAAAATCTACCAAAAGCTTTAAAAAGCTTATCCCACGGATGTACATATATCAGTCGTGACAGAATTATATGAAAATATGAGTAATTCACTCAAGCTTTTCGAATTCATTAATTGTATCAAAACTCAAAATTATGAAAAATAGTTTCATCGCTAGCTTTTAACTTAAGTCATATTTTTCGAACTCCGAAAAATCCTTTTATATGTATTCGTAAATATGGTGCTACACTTCTATTCGAAATTTTCTCAAAGCGAAATTTTGTAAAAGCACAAACTGATCATTCGAATATCCTTTCAAGGCACGCGGGTAGAGCTTTTCTGATTGGTTTCATCCGATAATCATGTGTCTTAAAAAAAAAACGCTATATGAGCAGTACTGCTGTATGCCACAGTTGGTCACTTCATAAGCACGCGTGACAAGCTTTTCAAAACTCTCTATACAGCATAGAAGCTAGCTGCCTATTGCTATAGACTGCTAATCAAAGCTTAAAGAGTATATACTTTTTTTGTATTAAGGACGGCCAAAATTTAAGCTTTTACAAGCGATTTGGACTACAAGCTTTCTGTACGTCACTAATTTACTGATGCCTTTTGGAATTTTTCAGGCACAGTTCCTCTTCAAATTTGCTCACAGAGTATCGAAAGCTTTCAAAGCTCCATTCGCCTAAAATTTTATTTTTAGAATTTTTCCTGTTCCGTAAAATAAATCTTTTTTAACGTGCCAATTTAATATTTTTTACGTTGGTGTAGCATAATTGAAAATGAGCACTTTTAAAATCAGGAGCTTTCATTAAAGCTTGCTAAGTTTTCAGCATTTAAGACCATATCTAGCATCATAAGGTCACGTAAGCTTAAAAGCTCAGACATATTTAAAAAAAAAAAATCTATATGGCTCTAAAGAGCTTCGAAACACTTTCTTTTACATTTTCTCAGTCGTAATTTTTTTTAAAGCTTAAAAGCTCAGCTTCAAAATTTTAATTTTGTAAGGCTGTTTTCTAAAGCAGCTTTTAAAATTTATCTGCCCTTTGAACAAATTTTTTTAGAACAAAATTAATAATGGCCCTAGCCTTTTTCTCAAGCAGCTTTTAGAATTAATATGCGCTTTAAAAATTAGTTCGAGAACAAAATTTAAAATATAGAGGGCAGATAACTTTCAAAAGCTACTTAAGAAAATGGCCTTTAGACTTTAAAGGTAATGCGCACCAAAAAGTCAGCTTTAGAGCTTTGATGAGATTACAATGGTTTGTGCATAACATTGAAAAATGTGTGCGACTTTAAAGCGCGCCGCACAATTAGTTTTGGTCATTTACCCTTCGCAAGATTTAGGGAATTATCTTACAGAAGCTCGTCAAGATCTTTAGAGCTTTCAATGAGCTTTTTTTTACTTTTTTGTTATAGTTTGGTAGTGTATAAAAACCTTTTTACTTGTATACTTTCGAAAAGTCTGTTAATCTGAAAGCTTAAGTTGAATTTTCAAATCTTAAAGTGAGCTTTTTAAATTTCTTAGTTCGCTGGTTATTAAATAAACTAATATTTGCATAGTTCAACATTTACTGATAACATCCTGTCTATATCTTTCCCCATTTGTAAATACTTTCTTCTTTTCAATTTCCAGGAGTTAGCGGCCTCAGCTTCAATCCCTTCACACTGCCGACGTGTAATACCCAAGGCTATGGGACAAGTCAGCTGGTGACGTCGACCAAATAAAATGCAAATTGGTTTGCAAATATCTTGGAACAGCAAATATCAAAGAAACATGCATACATATTTACATAAAACATTTGAAGAACAGTTGCGATTCGTAAAAATAAAAAATTTAAATCATATTCAAATAACATATCTTTTTGGTTAAGCTAAGCGTAAAAAACATGAAAAATATGTATGTATTTATTATCGAAAGGCAAAATTACAAAATATGTATTTATCGTTTTCTTCTATAATAGTTAAGCGTTAATAGATGCATAAACAGTAAATGTTTAAATTTTAATATATGTATGTATGTACATAAGCATGTATTTATTAGAAAAAAATGTGTGTAAAGAAAAAATTATATTAGTTAAAAAAAAAAAATAATTATAAAAATAAAAACCATAGACGTATGTAACTATAATTTCGCGTGCAATACATTACTTAACAGAGAAATACACTAGGAAGAGCAAAATAATACACATACACATACATATATAGTATAAAAAGCATTCAATTAGTATTTATATTAAACAGTTTTTGTATATAAACTTATGAACTGGAAAAAAAATATAAGACATTAATAAATAAGAAAAGAACACACATATGCAATTGTAAATATCAACAGCAACTCATATCAAACATTTCTAAATAAAATATAAAATCATCTCAAAAAATAATGCAACCATCAATAAAATAAAGTTTAACCATTTATAATTAAATTATATAACTCTTATAACAAAACGATGTAGATAGTTAATGAATTTAGCAGAATTTGTATACGAATTTTCCCTCAACTTTCACAGCAAAGAAAAAAATCAATACAACATAAGCAAAAATTATAACAACTCATAATTGTTAGGCGGATTGTACACATTCAAAAACAAAATACCTAAGCATATCTAGCATTCACATACACACTTACATACAATAGCTTAGCATTAAAGATTAGCCGACATTTAGCAAGATGTTTCTTCTTTTTAAATAAATAAAAATGAGTTAAAAAGTATGAAGAAAAACAAAACCGATTATTAGACAATGATAGTAACTAACTTGCATGCATATAAGAAAAAATAAATAAAAATAAACAAAATTTGCAAATTCTTAATTGGCACACCACAAGCAAAAAAATAATCTAGAAAATTGTGGTGAAAATTTTATTTTCTCAAAAATTGTTACATTATTATTAAGCAGTTAACGCCTTTCTGATGATCAGGTTAAGCAATGTTTACATAAAATTTTATATATATACATATGATTTTTTTTAACGCAAGTTGCAAAAAATTTCCGTATTTCCATATAAAGTGACTTAAGCATGTTAGTTTTTTCAAATACATATTCAAAATGTTTTTAAAGTTAAATTTTTTTGTTTTTTTTTTCATAAAAATGTTCTTCTTGCTTTAAGCAAAATCATATAAAAAGTGGCACACTTTGCACAAAGCTTAAAAAAAATAAATTTACATCAAATTTTCGAAGTCCTTAATCTGATTACTAATATAGTTTAGAGAAATTCCAAAAATGTTCATCAAAATTTTGAACTTTTTAATCTGAATATTAGGAATATTTTTGGGAATGTAATTTTATAACCCAAACAATTTTAGTATAATAAAGCTTTTGCTATTTTTTTTATATAACCAGTGCAATTCGTAAAAACGCGAAAATGTACAAGAATCCGTCAGCAAAAAAAAAAAATCTACGCGATTTTTCTCGCTTGAAACTAGAATTTTATGGGCTATAAAATTACAAAAACAAAAATGTTCTTAAGATTCAGATTAAAAAGTTAAACATTTTTAATGATTTTTTTTTTGAATTTTTCTAAACTTTGTATAAAGTTTGAAACTTTGACTTATATGGTTTTGGTTAAAGCACAAACAATGTGTATTTAAAAAAAATAAAAATTTTTGCGTTGGAAAACATTTTGAATATTTAAAAAAAAATCTATATCCGAAAAAATCGATTTTTACTTTTTTTTAGCAAATTTTTTTAAATGCTACGCGCTTTGTAGCTGCATTTTTTCCAGTGATCGTTACCGTTATGATTTTTATAATAAAAATCATAATTAAATCGTAATTTTGTGATTTTTATTACTTCGATTATTTTTGCGATGTAAATTGTTTGGATACGAAACAATCCTTTTTCGGTATTTTTAGCGTTTTCTTTTACCATTTTTAACCGTTATGATGGAGACTACGCTTTTATAGCCGATTTAAATTTTTCATGATCTAAAAATGAATAATCTGATCGAAAAAATAAAAATCATAAAATATCAATGGAATGCGCTTATTTTTATTAAACAAAAATAGTAAAATAACGATTAAAAATGATCCAAAAAATAAAAATCAAAAAATAACTATTTCGCAATGATTTTAAAATAAAAATCCTTAATAATAACGATTATTTTCAGTTCCTGGGTTTTTCACAATTTCACTTCACAGATGAATACATATCGGAAAAAGAACAAACAAATTCACTTATTTTCGAGCCGTAGGTCCGATTTAACTTTCCCTGTCACATATGGATGTAAGGTGCGACGCTATAAAAGAAAACAAAATGAAAAATTCTAAAAGCGTTTATTTTTTTATATTGTTTGATTTTCATTCCTAATTTTTTTAATACTCTTTATTTTATTTCAGTTTATGTAATTTATTTTATGTCCCCTTAAAAAAAAAGTAGACCTTGCGTACCCTTATAAGCAGGCAGGCGTAAGTTGCCCTCAATTTTATAGTTGTAAGCTAATAATTGTGCTTGTACGACACTGCACTTTTGCTGAAAAAAATAAAAAAAAAAACGAATAAAAATTCGCATAGCTTGTGGTTCGTACTTCGCAATATCTAGTGTTTTCTATTCAATATTTGTAAAATATATTGATATTGTAAAATAAACTTAATTTAAAAATAAAAATATTAATAATAAACAAGGTGTACGTTTACTTTATTAAGAATGTGCAGTAAGAAAGGCAAAAATATACAATTAAAGTGGGTTTGAGGCTGAAAATATTTATTCATACCTACATATGGCCGTGGCAGTAAAATAAAAGTTGAAGCTTAAAATTTTTCATTGCTGCTGTGCCAAAAACGGATGAACTCTTCACACAATTCCGCCTTTCAATATCGCCTGGCCCGTTAGTAAAGCAACGGTCCAATTGGAAGCGGTGGGTTCGATAACTTTATTGCGACTATTCTTATAGCATCAGTTAATCTCCTATATCTTTATGCGTCTGTCTAATCTCAACTCGTATCGTATTTATGCAATTTAAATTGAGTTCCGCATCCTCCTTTCCACAATTACATTTCCTAACAAATTTTGTCGACTTCCGATTTGCTGTCATAACTAATCACCATGGTTGCAACTGAGCACGTAAATCGACAACAAACTTACCAGCTTTGCCTGCTGTCACTTCAGTCAAATTTACTACTTTGTACTTTCCCACACATATGGCAGCATCGCAATTGACGTTTTCTTTCACTTGGAGTTGTTAGAAATAGAAAACTATCGATAGCACTGATGAACACTATCGTTATATCGATATGGTAGGCCAAAATTATACGTATATAAGGTCTTATGCCTAAAATATAAAATGGAACAATGTTTCATAAAGAAACATTTCAGTAGAATTTTTTCATCCTTAAGTTTCTTGGGTAATTATCCAGGTGGGCTTTCAACCCCCAAAATTGATCAAAATTTTGGATAGGGGATACCATTAGACGCGCCTGGACCCCAAGAACAAAAAATCGAAAGCGGAAATTAACATTTTTTACCCGAACAAAAGTTATTAACCTACGCAGAAAGGTGTTCTCTGCAAAAGGTGTTCAGCGCCTTTTCTTCGCAACACAGTAAGAGAATTCTACTTTGTGAGGGTTATAATCCCTAAGTGCGGCCGAAGGCCGCCTATTCAGAAAGAAGTTCTGCGCAGAAATACTTCGACTTCTTTTTATGTCAATACAGTTAGGAGACGGAAGTGAGGGTGACAATCCGTAATTATCTAGGTGGGCTTTCAACCCCCCAAATTGGTCAAAATTTTGGAAAGGGGGTACCATTAGACGCGCCTGGTCCCCGATAACAAGATCCCGAAAGTGGAAATAAACGTTTTTTACCCGATCAAAAGTTATTAACAAAAAATTTTGGGCGTTGAAAGCCCAACTAGATAATTACCGTTTCTTGATTCAATTAACTTTTTTTAATAAAAGTAAATATCAAATTTCAAGGCCACACGCAGATAAATTTTGCATTTTTACTACTGGGTCGTTTTCTGTACTGAGAAAATTTTAAGTCAAGAATTTCCCCATTTCCCAAGATCTTCCTTTTTCGATTCGTGTTCGCATGATTTTGATCATATTTAAAAATAGACAGCGAAGTCACGGGATTTATATGCCGTATGTTACATGTACTGTCGTATCCGATACTATCGATAGTCTGATAACATCGATAGTTTGCTTAGAAAGCACATATCATCGATATATCATTTGTTTCGTCGATATTCTTCCACCTCCATTAACTTGATTTCGTTCGCGTTTCTGAGCTGAGGAAGATAGAAGAAAATTAGAAAATTTTTTTTTGCAATATTTATTGTGAGTAATGGTGATTTAGTACTAATTAGCAAGCGATTTTAAATCAATTGGTTATCCAAGTGAAATTGCAATTTTCAAAAGGAAATATTCAACTTCTCGAGCGGCCGAAAAAATTTCACTACGCGACTCCCATTTTCGTTTAGGGTCGTGCCTCGCGTATTAAATGCATGTGCGAGAAAGAAAACGCCATAGCTTGCACTCGCAATTAGCTCGTGTGCGTGTGAACGAGAGAACAGGTGCTGTGTTTTTTTTTCGTTTTTGTGTGAATTGAAGAAAATTTTGAGCGAAGAAATTAATAATGAGATAATCTTTGTATTTATCCAAATATCCTACACGAAGTGAAAGAAAAGCCAAACAAATTGATAATTGTTTATATAATTAATTGAATTTTACATTAATGCGTTGAAGAAGTGCGTGCTATGTGGCTAAATATCGATAAGTCGCAACAGCTGATGCACTGGTGCGTTTAATCTTCGGTGGCAAACCCCCACGCCGGTGGGCTAATACGCTAGCTAGCTAGCACTAAATCACCAGAGAGTGATTCACAAGTTTTAAGCAGGCGTAGCACCTTTCCAAACTGCATTAACTTACGCTAGTACATAAATGTGGAATTTGTTGTTGAAATTTTGTGTGTCTATGATTGGTGTGAAAGAAAGTTTCGTTTAGGAAGGCTTTTCTGCTTTCTTTTCGTTGCATGAGTCGAAGGATTGATTGCTGTTGTCTGCTAGTGGATTACACCGTGCTCGTGGTTGAGCGAAAGACGACATTGCGGCGTCGATGAGACCACGGCCTTTACCAGGATCAAGACGACAACGACTACCACACATTGGTTTCTAAACGAGCTGCGGCTGGTCAATTGGAAAACACTTAAACAGTGTGATCTGGATATAATTGAATGATGGATGCTGGCCAGCAAGAAACTAGACAGGTATGTATGCATATTTATTTGTCTATTTTTAAGCGACACAATTCAAATCAGCATTGCAGCATAAATCTTTAAATATTCGGAAGATCTTCCGTATGTACATGTGTATGATTGTGCATAGCAAGTATATGTATATTCTTGCTAAGCAGCTTAGTCGTTGGCACTTGTTTACCTACGAATTTCAACGCCGCAGCATAAAAGCAAAAAAATATGATATCATCAAATGTCAAACAGCATTTTTCGCTTTCGGCTGGGCTGTGCTTGTGCTGTGCTGTGAAGTTACAAGTGGAAGCTCACTGAATGGTACATATATGTACTCATGCACACCATGCTCGCACTTGTATGCACGCAAACATTGTAGGTAGCAGTTTTACAAGTTACAGTTTTAATTGCTGCAACTTGTGTGCTGGCCTGGCTGCCCGCAGCAGCTATTAGATGCATTTAAGAAAATCTTAAAACAATTAGGAAATTGAAAGCGTAAAGACCAACAATTGATGGTGTCAGTCACATTGAGCTCACCTAATTTATAGCTAAACTATACATATGTTTGTATATAGATACATATGCGGCTATGTGCATATGTATATGCATATACACTAAATTTATGTGTGTGCTTTTGTCGGGTTAATTCTCTGTCCACCTACCTACGAACTTTGTAAGTTGTGCGCTTTGCCGTGAGCGTTATGAGCCAAGCACCTGGTTTGGTATTCCACCTACTCATAAATGTGCCAACGACCAGTTTATATTAATTTTTTCCACCTTTTGTTATTGTTTTTTTTTTGTATGTTCTTCAGCGCA